ATGTAACTGTGTAGGAGATAATGCTGCATGATGGATCTTCAGAGAAATTTAACATACAATGTAGTTATTGCAGCAATGTTCAATTAATTTACATAAAATTAGGTGTTCCTAGGTATTTTCTTCACCTCTTATCTTTTCTATTCATACACTTTCCATGAAAACAAGACAAGTGTACTCAGCAAGTTTAGGTTTTAGAAGTTTCTAGTAGTCACCATGTGTGTGTGTAACATCTTGTCAATTTTCCCAACTATGGCATAGTGGATGAGAAGCCAGTGCTTAGATCATGGATGCATCCATGACATCCGTTTCATGCAGGAAAGATCAAGACTTTGTTGGTATTTCCAGGTATAACAGTAGAGATGCATGCAGTTATCTAGCTTGATGATTCCAGCATGAACAAAGCTCACAAAAGCTAATGTATATGTACAAAGGTTGGCCCCCTCCAGGGAGAGGGTTATGTGCTTTGTTTAAGATCTATAAATAAATATTTTCCCAGAGGAGAAATCAGTTGGTAATACTGTACTATGTGGGCATTGTTAGGAGCAAGTGTTGGAAAAAAAAACACAATGGACTGTCCAGAAGGCCAGTGTTGCAATTCAAATCTGTACCTGTAACATGTATTATGTAAAAGATTGTTTCACTGACAGATATTGCATACAGTTGAACTAGACAGGTTTCACTGCTCCATTAAACTGACTTCATATTTAATTATAAACTATAAGAAGACTCTATAACCAATGATGTTTTTGCAACATACTGGCAATAATTTGTGGAAATTTCCTTGAATTAGAATAAACATGAAAATTGTACAATCCTGTGTAAATTGTCTGGAGATGCTTCTCTTTCTTCAAGTCCACTATTGGAACTAAATAAAATGAACTTCTGATAATAAAGTGAGCAGCACAGGCAATACTTGCTACAATCATTGTGAAAATGATGCCATGATCAAAGTTCAAATATTTCGCACACAAGATAAAGATGGTGCAATGAAGTAGATGTGACTTCAGAATTATTACACTATAGACATATACACATTAAGTGATTCTTGTTCAAGTGTCGCTTTTATGTTTACCTCGTAAAATAGGTTAAACTACTATTCAAATGAAGTTTAAGTTACCAGAAAGCATTAGCAATGAGAAAATTTTACTGCATTCTTGCTTACATGAAAGTAAAGAGCATTTAATTCTGTGTATATGCTGGACAAGCTCATTATTTATCTACATTAAACCATACCCACATTGAATTTCATTTAAATTCATGAATCTCTAAATTTGCTATGATTTATATGGTGTCTCACTATCTCACCTGGAGCAGAATATTTATTTACAGTTAATGTCCCCAAAATTTTAACCCCTATATGCTCACTGCATACTGTTTTGCATGCCAGGAAATCAAATTATGAGAGTGGGTCTATTTATGTCTACATTTGTCATTAGACAATAAAAACTACGATTTGATGGCAACTAACATCCAAAATTGGCCAATCCAAATTTTATTGCTTTCAGCAGTTTGTCTAGTTGCAATGTGAAGCCTTTGTTGGCCAATTGTATAATGTGTTTTAAAGAAGGCACACAAGTGTGGCAAAGATTTAGTGTTTTGCCCCCAAAAGGGTCTAAGTTTCTAGAAACACACATTTTGTCAATTAATCAATGAAGTGGTAAGTTGAAAAGAAAATTAGGAAAAAATATAAATAATCTAATAAATAATGGTGGATAATGAATGAATACTTAAGATGAATGAGATCAAAATCTGAAATGGAAACTTTCATAGTAATACTATTTTTAAGTAAACCAGATATTCAAACTGATTAATGTTTTTTAAAAGTAGTAAGTCTCAAAGCAATTAGGAATATCTAATTCTGCTACCACAGTTAGTGCATTAAGTTCTAACATTTTTATAGTCCCTTTAAAATGTTGTGTGGTCCTCAAGCTTACAGAATGGGTCACTCAGTGTCCCCTACCCTTGAAATTCACTGGTCGTTGATATTTCCTTTATTTGGATGTGGGATAATTGTATAAAGAGATAGGTCAGATGAACATGAACATATAATTTATTATGTTAACTTATTATAAATTGCATATCACAACATTACTTAAAACATGAAGCCTTGAAAAATACTGACACATAAACACATGCACCTTACCTCATTATAAGTGTTTAAACCACTTTCTTGGACTGAAGGTTTTTGTACCCCCTATGTGGGTAAAATGATAGTTCAACATAATTAAAGAGGGGTGGGGTGAAGAAAAAGAAAATTCCATAGGAATATACCAATATCATAAAGATATCAATATTATAAAAATACTGACACATGCACCTTCCATCATTATAACATGTTTACACCACTTTCTTGGACTGAAGGTTTTTGTACCCCCTAGGTGGGTAAAATGATAGTTCAACACAATTAAAGAGGGGTGGGGGTGAAGAAAAAGAAAATTCCATTGGAATATACCAATATCATAAAGATCCATATAAAGGAGTAAATAAATACAAATTTGAACGTGTTTGCACATAGTACTTCTGAAAGACAATGCTAAGGCAGATGGATTCATATACATGTATTCAGTATTAAGTTACTTAAGTCCAAATATTACAAAATCTTCCAGTTCTTATTTTCCTCAAATTAACAATAATTACTCTTTATTTTGTTTTTAAAAAATATAAGCATAAGAAATAGCAAGCTTGTATGCATAACTTTTAACTCTAGAATAACAATAACTCTACAACTTATGCATCTCCCTGTTTCTTTCCAAATCTGTTCTGCAAACTGAAAGCATAACAGCACAGCAGAAATTAAGAGGCAGTCTACCTGTTATAACATATATGGTGACTATAAAAGATTTTCAAAACAATGCACACATCAGCTGGTTAATGTTGGCAGATATTGAGTATGGCTGATACCAATTCTCTGACTTAGTTTACCAAACTTCAAGGTCTAAAAAGTGAACTACATGCATCAGACCAATGTTTTGCATCTCCAGAGTGCTGTTAATGAACATACATTTTGTGCTAATGGGGAACACTGAATATTGACTCTAATTACCTGAAACATGGACTGACCCTGGTGTAACTATAAAACCTGTTACATATCTAATAACAACTGACCTTACCCCAGACAACAGATCGCTCCGCCTACCAAATCACAAGACTTTTCCTCCGACAAGCATACAGTATTTTGGTGAAGAAATATGTTTCAGTTTATGTGATAGGTCTATTTAATGTGATTTGTATTATTCTTAAAAATCTAAAATTACAAAGCTGCATTAACTATACTGTATTAACCTACGCGTTTTATTTTAGTAAATAAAAACAATCATTTGTAAAGCTGTTTAAGAATTTATTCCTATGAAAGGAAATTTGCCCCAAAAGAAGCTGATGTATTTAGCATGTAATGTTAACATTGTTAATTTTATCTGACCTGCCTTGGAAGTATATAAATTAAAAATTAATAACAAAATTGTAAATGATTACTGTTTAGAATTGCACTGTTGTACATAACAATTTTAAGGTCTGCTATGCTAGTAACATGTAATTCTGAACAATGATGTCTGTTGATGTAAACATATAATAAATGCATTTTAAACATATCAAAGATAAATATTTGAAACCTTTATTTTGTATTTCTTTTGTATGTCTGAAAGATCGAGATGATTAAACTGTAAATTTTCAATCTTTAAAATAATGCAGCCTTCAGTTCAGGGCTTCATATACAAGAATAAATAATATATATCAAAGTCCATTTAGATGATCTGGATATTGACTGTCAGAATAACAAGACTTGTTTTCACTGTGATTGATCAAGAAATCAACAAGTCATTTCAAAATTGTAAATACATATCATGATCAATTCATTGTTGTTACCAGCATCTTGTTGGAGGAAAATGGTGGACTTGAGCACTACTTGGAGGTTGTCTAATTTACAATTGTTAATTGGTCCAGTGTGATTGACATGTGGTGATAGGTCAATTGTGCATGTAAACACAGTGTTCATACAGAATTCCGAATGATAAATTCTTTCAGATAATAATTGACCGTTTAATCTGTGTTATGACACTGATCCATGTTGCAATTTTTCCATTATGAATATTACCATATGTTTCCTGTTTCTAAAATTTAATTCATAGAAATATATTCAGAAAAAGGCATTGACAATTAATATTTACTTCCTTCTAGTTTGAATTATTCTCGAAATTGAAGTATCAGTCAAGTTCCAGTGGTCATTTGGGCTGTTTATGTATTGTATTGTATCCATAAAGCCAATGTAAATGCCATCAGATCAAACTTCCTAATTTCATACATCATTGGCTAGTCATAATAAAATCTGCACATTCTCATTTTTGGCACATTATAAATCCATCTTTGTAGAAGTTAAAACTAAAAAGTTAAGAACCACTCAAGTTATCCCCATGCTTGAGTTTTACAATAATGTAGAACCAACTTTCCGTCGCTGCCAAAGCAATCAAACACCGTACCTATTTCTGAATCAGGCGCAGGAGCAAAGGATTGGTTCACGTATATGAAAAGTGAATCCGACTGCTGGCATTTTAGATACTTCTTAATAAAATCTGCGACCCAGTAAACGGTTTTATTTCTTTCCACTGCCCATTTCTTTTTCTTCATGATAGGCGCGTCACCTGCAGCCTTTAGCAAGAGGTCAATCTTATATGTATTATGAGGTGAAATAGCTTGAACATCAGGTGGTGTTGGTTCAGTATCTTTCGCATCTTTCTCGCTGTCTGCAGTTTCTTTTAATGCATTCTCACTGCTTTCGACATTTTCTCCTGCCGACATTTTCTTCACTTCAATATCAATGTTGAGTACACACTGGATATAATGATTGCGAAATAAATGCATCTTCTAAACCATGATCTAGACTGGTTTACTGATTTACAATTCAAACTGGTCCATAAAAAAAAGGAAAGTATGTAGTCTCCATAAAGCTCTGTGTTGATATCTTCATATAGGTATAATCTAACACATTACGTAGCTCAGTAGTGACAGCCGTGATCGTATAGTGGTTAGTACTTCGCGTTGTGGCCGCGACAACCCAGGTTCGAATCCTGGTCACGGCAAATCTGTGTCAGTCGCGAACATGGCACATCTGAGTAATTTTTTTTTTCCTTTTTAGTTTTTAATTTTTCTATTATTGGAAACCTCAACTTGCCTCTTTTTTATTTTACAATTATTTTCATGCAAACAAAGATAACACCAGTTAAACCATAGTATATCAACCACGACACAAATACTGCGGGAAATGTAAATATCTCCACACGATGTACTGCAAATTAAAATATACAGTGCAATGATGTTAAATCCCGTGTGCGTGGGTCTCTCTCTCTCTCTCTCTCTCTCTCTCTCTCTCTCTCTCTCTCTCTCTCTCTCTCTCTCTCTCTCTCTCTCTCTCTCTCGTAATATAAACCTCATTCTTAAAGAGGGTTAATATTTTCTCATGTAGTGCATCGTCATAAGTCACACACACACACACACAAAAAAAAGAAAAACACAAAAGTGTGCATAGCAGGGTCTATAATTTTTGGTTGCTACAATTTGGCACAATTCCCAACATTAATCTTTGCTGTTTCAATGCAAGGTCGTTTTTAAATGAGGTGGAATAAAATTGACTTCCTTTGCGTACAAAATTTTGGTAAATGAGCATAAACACTGCATCATGTGCGAAGTTGGATCGATTTGAATACTACCTTTATGCTGAACATGCAGTTCTTTTTTATCTTCCATAGTGTGACGATTAGTTTGCCTAACCCCAAGCACACAGGGAAAGGTTTCGTCCTTGACTGTGCATTGATTGAAAAGTCTATGCTTATGGCCCAATGAATGACATATTCGACCCAAGTTCATGGAACCGCTGCCTAATTTTATTTCCAATTTATTTATTTTTTTAAGATAGAAGCTTCTGAGCTAAGCTAGACGGCACTTTTCCTGAAGACTATTCAAAGGAGATGGGTGAAGTTTACCTCGGGGAAGCATACTGTCAGTCGTCATATAAGCTGAGAACGAAGAGAAATAATATCATTTTAGACATTTTCATACAGATTTGTGTTCATGTACTAAATTCAATCTCAAAAAGTTAATAAAAGCGAAATGTGTTCCGCCCGAAACACAGTGGACAATTATGTCAGCTCAACAATGACAGCCGATTGTATAATGGTTAGTACTTCGCGTTGTGGCCGCAACAACCCAAGTTCGAATCTTCAATGTTTGCTGAAACGTCTGAGGGAACAAAATTAAGAATTGTGAAGCAAAATAGTTAGATATTCAGAAACTCTTAAAGGCATCTCAGTACTACAATGGCCGTATGGTGCCAATTCAAAGATAATTTCAAAAATGAAGAACATTTTCCAGCATCCACCAATTAAACTAAAAATAATAAAATAAAAACAAATTAAATAAAAGAACTGCAACATGAAAAATAAAAGATAAAGATCTTAAAAATTCCATCAAAGGTAGTAAAAAAATATTTTCAAATGATAATTTCAACGGTTGTTATATAACGTAGTTTTTTGGAGTCTGTCATGTCACACCAGTTCCATGATTATGCAAATGCGACACACACACACACACACGCACACACACATACACACACACACACACACACACACACACACATATATATATATATATATATATATATATATATATATATATATATATATATATATATATATATATATATATATATATATATATCCTAAATTTTATTGAAAATGTTTGGTGGTATATTGATAACTGTATCAGGCAAGTGCTTCATGCTAATGTGCAAGTCTATGCATCTAAAATATGTAACAAACAACAGTGAAAAGCACCAAACTTTGTATAATTCAACAAATAATCTATTTCTCTACAATACAAAGTGAAAATGAACATGAAAGAACTTATTGCTTTTGGGATTAAATTTCCAAATAATACTAGAATTACAGACACAAGTCCTAATAATCTAAAGGTTTGAATAAACTTTCAGCAGAAATTACAATTAAGTCCAACAATGAGGTGATGATGTGTATGTTATAAGCTGTATAATTATGATGTTCCAGGAGTCTTTTGTTGAAACACGGTAATATAATTCCAAGTGTTTATTCACTATAAATCCCAGTAAAATTCTCTACCCAAAAATACTATTTTGATAAAAGCAATCTATTTCCAGATAAAATAATCACTTTAATGAAGAAATAAATTCCATCCTACATGGCTTCTCCTGGGTCGGTGGTTATTTCCGTGGATATCCCGGTTTCTTTCTCCACCATTAATACTTTCCTTTGCGTACAAAATTTTGGTAAGTGAGCATAAACACTGCATCATGTGCGAAGTTGGATCGATTTGACTACTACCTTTGTGCTGAACATGCAGTTCTTTTGTATCTTCCATAGTGTGACGATTAGTTTGCCTAACCCCAAGCACACAGGGAAAGGTTTCGTCCTTGACTGTGCATTGATTGAAATGTCTATGCTTATGGCCCATTAAATGACATATTCGACCCAATATCGTGTGCTAAAAAATGTCGTTAAACCCCAAAACAACAACAAGAGCAACAACGACAACCATCCTACATGATCTACTTGTTCACAACAAATACAAAACATGAATGAATATTTTTTCCAATACCAAGATTAAATAGACTTCTACTTGACCTCAGGTCACAATAAGCATTTTCTAAAATAAACCATTACTTAATGGAAATTAACTTTCTAGAATGTTCTGACCATTTCTCATTTAAAAAAAAAAAACATGTTAGCTATAATTAGAAATCTCTATTACTAAAATTATAATATATAACCTGGACAATGTCAGGTACGCCAGGTATGTTGTAGGGGAATCTCAAATAACTTAGACCCAGACCCAGACCCAGACCAAAATAAACATATAAACTTCTATTAATAATGATCATGATAATAAACCCATACATATAGAGGATATTTTAGCTATACATTTATTGCATGGAGAAGTTCTTTTTAAAAAATCTTGAAAATCAATAATTCAGGTAATGTAGAAAAAACTTAATTTTGGACAAGGTTAAGCCCAATAAACAATATTACATTGCAATAGCATAATAACAAAAACATGAAAAATATAACTAACAAACAATGAAAATTAAATACAACACTTAATAGTGGATATTATCTGGTTCCTCTGAAGCGTCATGAGTTAGTTCCTCTCTAATAGTGAATGGTTCACTGTAATACAGCTTTAGCATATTGAATTTCTAAGATATCACGTAGCATTCGATATAGAATTGGCAATTTCTGGGCATCTCTGTCTCACTGCACTCATTCATTCGAAATCTCTAGATCGCACGAATGCTCTGCAGGGGTTGATACATTTTTAAGTGACTTAGTACGGAAACAAATAACAAAATATCCGATTCGAATTTTCGTTGAATGTGTATGGATAGAATTCGAATATTCGTTGATGTCAATGAACCTACCAAATCCGAGATTATTTTCTTTCTTTGCTTTCACATTTAATTATGCTTCAACAGCCCAGCAGCATTGATAATACTGTGAACTCAATCATCTCAACCTAACGTCAGCTGTAAGTAACATTTAGGTGGTCGTACTTATATTTTGGTGCGTTCTTAAGACTAAAATGAATCAAATCACTGTAGATGTAATTTTCCTTTTTATTCTCAAACTCAGTGTGACCAGAAACGTTAAATATTGAATATAGACTATAGGTAAAGAAGGTCACTAACTCACGATTCAGTTCAGTTCCAAATGTGAGGCGAGGCCCATCAAAATGGTTCCTTTTAAGGGATGGGTGAGTGAGGTGGCATCTTCAGTAGCCAAGGTTCCGATATTTTAATCCTATCTACACTTTAGCCGATCGCACAGAGATTTTAGTGCTTTGTCCTCGCGACTTCTTTTGGATTTCATGAAATGCCAATTAACCAATAGTGTATAACACCAGTTCATTGTACATCGGCCGAAAATGATGGAGGCAATTGACCTCAAAAAGATACTTTACGAGCCTAATATTGAAATTATGACTACGTACCAGAGCTAAGCCATTATATGTTTATTTGAGTGAAAGGTATTTATGCAAACACGGATCGGCAATGGGAAATTGTTAACTTATCAGTCCATTCAAGTTGTGTGCTCCTCTTGTCTTGTTCATGTGGGAACATTGTTCAAATTTGAACAACTTAGTTTTGATTCAAATTTGAACAACTTAGTTTTGATTCCATGCAGTGGCTTGCCGCCGCATCCAATGAAATTCACAGACCCGAGAGACATAAATATCTGTTCGATCCGCCAAGGTGTAGATAGGGTGAAGGTATCGGAACCTTGGCTAGCAAAGATTAGGTGTGGGGCATTTACTTAGGCAGTCTAGTTCTTATCTTCACTGTCCTATGCGAAGATCTGTAAGCGACGTCTTAGAGATCATGTTATGGTGACTTTCAATTAGCCAGTAGAATTGTAGCATTCATAAATCTCAAAGTGAATCAAATCGTTCAGCACATATTGATGCTCTTTGGCCATATTAAGTCTCCAAAAAGCGCATATATAAGACTTCATATGAATACAGTTAGCGATTATGGTAATAACACCTGTCACCGGAATATAACCCGCAAGCTGTCGTCAGATCTTCGCGTAGGACAGTGGAGAGATTATTTTAATCAGATTGTGTACTTAGTATTAGTAATAGGGTCTATTTAATTTAATTTAATTTAATTTAATTTAATTTAATTTAATTTAATTTAATTTAATTTAATTTAATTTAATTCGTTTACGTTCATTGAAGCAGCTTTGTGTACTTGATGGGACAATTCTTGTTGAACGCCAAAGCTTTTATCAATTTACCGTCCAACATGTCTTCCTGAAAAATGATGCATTTCAAAGCTGATGTTGTGTGCAGTGTGACTATTCTCAGGTTTGACATTTTAATTACCTTGTAATTGTGAGTTTAAATTTCAGGTGAATTAGTTGCTTTAATGCTTTAATGCTGTTCTTTTAAATATTTGTTCCAAACTGCATGCTCTACATTTTTCTATATGAGCATTGCCAGATTCAACCCTGTGGAAGCTCCTAGACAGTGGAAATCTCGCCCCTTTTCCCATACA